AACCTCCCTTGGCCCGCTTCTCCCCAAAACTGCCATCCCAGCGGAGAGCTGTGCGGTTGTCGGAAGGATGGTATCGGAGCCTTTTTGATGGATTTGAGAAGTCCTGCAAATGTGGTCAACAGAATTGTTGGTTATGGAGCAGCCACATTAACCCCTCCTTGTGGATTAAGCACAAGACAGACCAGCGTGAGCCTAACCGTCATGGCCATACGAGCCAACGAGCAGAGAAGGTGCAGGATGAGCAAGGCTGAAGTCGCCGGCCAGATCTGAAAGGAACGACAACACCGAGAGAAACACTTGGAACATGACAACTGTAAGAGCTCAAAGGCACCTTCAGCCCGGCCTGGCAGCGCTGCAGCATGTCCCTTGAATGGGCCATGTCCCATTCCTGAGGGCGTCCTGCGTGACAGCTTCTTCCTTAGACTTCAGCACCCCTCCACTTCCACTCCCTTCGACTGTCGACCCACTTGATGTTTTCAAAGAAAAAGAACGAAGCAGCCGGGCAGTCGGAGCTCCCTCACGGGCTCCATCACGGGCTCCCTCACGGGCTGCCGCAGCCCAGCGCTGCCTCCCGCCCTCCCCTCTGGGAAAGGCGGCCTCCCCACTCCGCACGGCCAAGCCCGCCCCTTCCTGCTTCTCTCCTGCAGGAGTATCCTCTCTACCGACCGGATCACTCTCATCAACACCACACGTGTTAAAAAACACACCAGTGACCCTCGACCCCACATACCTGTCAAATCTGTCCCACTTCTTGGCGCCTCTTCACAGAAAATCTTGTGGAAACCATGTGGTGCACATCTGCCGCCTGCAATGCCTCAGCCTTCTCCAGTCTGACTTCCGTTCTCGTTCTACTGAAATTGCCATTTTAAGTGTCCATTTTGTTTCCAAATATAACTGCATGTCTCTGTTCTCACCTCACTTGACCTCGACGGCAGAATTGGGCATACTGGACCACCCCTTCCTCCCTGAGTCAGATTTCCTGTTGTAGTGTTTGTGACACCACACTCCCCCACGTGTGTTTGCCCTGTCTGCTTCTGAGTTATCTGTAATGGTTCTCTTCTGCTCAGCCCCTGAATGTGGAAGTGGCCTGGCCTCGTGTCCTGGGCCCCTGTCCTGGGCCACCTGCCTTATCTGTTTGTTCATAAGCCCTCATGTCCTCTCCCTTGAGCTCAAGACTCATCCAGATGCTCGTGTGGCATCTCCATCCCTGCACGTCCAAACAGAACTCTTACTCTCCCGCCATGTACCTGATGCCTCCTGGCCACCTTCTCCATCTCAATACCTGTCACCACTGTCCACAGAGTGGCTCTAGTTAAAAACTCAGGTGTAATCTTTGACCTTCCCTCTCTCTCCTCCCTCTCCACATCTCATTCATCAGCAAGTCCTGCCAGCTCTGCCTTCAGAATTCACCCCAAGTCTGTGTGATTCTCTCCGTGAGCATTGCTCCCATTCTGGTCCAAGCTGCCATTATCTCTTGTTGCAGCAGCCCCCGTGCTCCCACTTTTCCTGTTAATGCATGTCCTAAGAGTGAGCGTTAGAAACATTATCCAGGATCTCAGCGTCTTCTCTGCACTAGAATAAAACGCCAGCTCCTTATCATGGCTCAGGGTCCTGCACGACCTGATGCTGCCCCCCTCACCAGCCTCGTTTCGTGCCATCTCCAGTAGAGACACATGATGTGTCTTCACCTGAGGACCATTGCACTTATTCTTATGGTCACTTCCTCATCGTTCAGGTCACAAATGTCACCTCCCCAGAGAAGCCTTTTCTGAATACCTTTGAGAGGTTCCCTCCCAGTCTCTCCCTATGTGTTTACTGGTTTAATGTCTGTCCTGCTCCACTGTGGGCAGGGACCATGTCTAGATCATTGACATCTATATTCCCGGTGTTTAGAATTGTTATTAACCCCTAGGAGAAACTAATCAAACATTTACTGAATATTTGAATATTTATTGAATGTTTATTCTATAAATATTGACTATGAAAAAGGAATATTTATTGAATATTTGAATTTATTGAATATTCAAATATCGAATATGAAAAAGGTCTGAAGCATAGTTCATTTTTTGTCGTATCGTTTCCATTACTCTCCTAATTTACATTATGACTGCCACCAAGAGCAGTAACTTCCTGATTACTGGTTCTGCAGGCAATGACACCCTACTTTACTATTTCAGATCTATGAAGGGCTAAGAAAACCAGTTAATTAACCTTGTTAACATTGCATGTGAAGAACAGGAGAGTTTAGAAGTAAAGTACAGCATTCAGAAGGGGCCATTATCTTGTTTATTGTCCAATGCCTGAATTTCGTTGTTGTTGTTGCACAGAGATGTGTAGAAGCTGTTTTGTCAACACAAGAGGAAGAGAGAAGTTAGATCGCTTTGGGCCATAATGACTGGTCCTGGAGGTGTGGGAAGGGAGGGGTCTGAAAGGTGAGGAAGAGACAGGATGACGGAGAGAGGGGCGCCTTTGCAAGCTTCCCGGAAGGGGCTTTCCACGACCGTCTTTGCCAACTCTAGGAAAGGCAGAAAGGGGAAAAGTGGGCATTCTCTTGATGCTCTGAGGTTACCTCTGCAACCCAGGTTGACTTATAACCAAAGATCATCTTACCACATCACTAGACAGGGCTTTAGGTAATGGCATTCCTTCTTGGGTTAGATTAATTTGCTAGAGCAGCTCACAGAACTCAGGACGTTTTACTTACTAGATCACTGGTTTATTATAAAAGGATATAACTCATAAACGGCCAGATGGAAGAGGCAGGGCGAGGTGTGTGAGAAGGGACCCAGAGCCTCCACGCCCTCCCTGGGCGTGCCACCCTCCCACGTGTCCGCCAGGCTGGAAGCTCTCTGACCCCCATCCTTTGGCATTTTATAGAGGCTTCATTACATAGGCATGATTGATTAAATTATTGACCATTAGTGATTGGTTCAGTCTCCAGTCCCTCTCCCTCCCGGAGGAGGCCGAGGGCTTAGGGCTGAAAGTTCCAACCCTCTAATCATGCGGTTGGTTCCCCTGGCAACCAGCCGCCACGTAAGAGGCTTTCCAGAAGTCACCTCATGAACATATATTCAGGTGTGATTGAAACTTATAACAAGATGCCCCTTTTCACCTTTGTTCCTCTGAAGCTGGTTTAGGAACGAGGCACAAAACTAAATATTGTAACAAAAGATGCTCCAATGGCTCTTGCATAGGAAATTACCAGGGGTTCAGGAGCTAAGTGCCAGGAGCAGTGACTGCAGACCAAATATGTATTTCTTACTGTAAATCACATCACACTTATTAACCTATGAAGAAAAGGCCTAAGTGAGAGGCAACTGTTCATTTAGATCCAGGATAACAGCTATTCTCGAAGCACTGATTCAGGCAGAAACCCAAATGGTATTCTCATCGTGAGGCGAAGGCAAGGGGTGTTTATAACAAAGGAAAGGAGAATAATTTCCTGAATATACTGAAGGCGTTTCTGTGAGTGGTAATAAGCTACGGAAGGAATTCCTGTAGGTGCAGATAAGGTAACAGTGAGGGTAATTCTAAAGAATGTCTAACTTGCAGGCTGTAGTCACAACACACAGTTGTTTGGGATACAGGCTGCTGCAGCCCAGCCCAGGGGTTACTTTGCCCCGTGTTCACATTCCAAAGGTTTGAGGAGGGAGACGGGCAAGGCCATTCCTCAGGGGTGGCAGCTCCAACTCGGTTTTACAGTGGCTCTGTTTATATTTTTTGCATACTCATCAATGGAATCATAGAATATTTGTTCCTTTTGTATGTGGGGAAGGAGTGACGATAGGGAATATATAAAATGGAGTCACTTTAAACACCCTGCTAAAATTGTCATCACGTTGAAGGCTGAGGCATGAGGAAGGACTCCGTTCTTGTTCTAACTAGCCTGAGAACTTGAACTTTTTTGAGCTCTCCAGGCTTGTTCATGTGCCTGGATATACATCTGAACCTCCAGATAACCCTTGAATTACCCCCACAAGGTCCCACATATCCAGACCAACTTATTCCCTGTCAAAGGCCCGATGCATACGCCACCTGGCGCCCATCATCCTGACTGCCTGACATCTGACTGATAACCATCTGGGACCAATCCTAGGGCTAAGAATGCAGGACTGATAATTCTCAAGAAGGCACTTTTTACTATAAGAAATATTAACTTTCCTTCTTTAGAACACTTCTGAATTTTTGCCTATGTGAATAAATCTTTGTCATTTATTTCGAGCAAAGCCTCCACACTCTTTTTTGAGTTCGTTCAACCGTCTGCTTATTTTACTTAGCCTGATGTCCTCAAGGTTCATACATGGTCAGAATTTCATTCCTTTTTAAGGCTGTATAATATTCCACTTTGTTTGTTTATTCATCTGTCGATAGACTTTTGGGTTGATCGCACCTTTTGGCTATTGTGAATAATGCTGCTATGAATATTAGTATTCAATCTGCTTGAGTCCCTGCTTTCAATCCTTTTGGCTATATACCCAAAAAGTGAAGTTATTGGATCATGTGGTCATTGTATGTTTAATTATTTGAGAAAAGTACTCAAGGGATTTTAAACTCATTACTCTATCAGAGAAAAGGGCCATTTATTTATTACCTCATATATGCCAGTATATTAGGTGTCAGTATGTTAGGTGTCAGAGAAATAGAAATTAATGGGACATGGCTCTTTCTGTCTAGAAACACAGAGCCTCAGGGTGAAAGACAGTCAACAGAGGCATAAATGATTAGCTACTATATACTGTGTTCAGTGCTCTGATAAGATGTATATAGAGTACTATGGGAGCACCTTATAATAATAATGATTTCTAGCATTTCCGAAGACAGAATCTCCTTGGATGTTGTCCAAGATGGATGCTCTACTGAATTCTGGTTAATAGTGGGTAATGCGGTGGAGAAGTCACAGTGTACAAGTTTTTGTTGTACATTTGTTTTTTTTAATAGCTAACTCAATCCATCCCTCTTTTCCGTGACCTAAACGTCTCTTCTGTTTTTTCTTCCTCTAGTGGTTTTTAATTGCCAACAGATCTTACAAAGTCAGCGCAGCAAGCTCTTTTTTCTTCAGCGGTGTGTTTGTGGGAGTGATCTCTTTTGGGCAGCTTTCGGATCGTTTCGGAAGGAAAAAAGTCTATCTCACAGGTAATCCATTAGAGTGTTCACGAGCTGAATAAAAGGACATATTTCCCTGAGGCTCTCAGGGAAGTAATAAGGGGACTGTTTTCCTAAGGTTCTCAGGGAATTGCCATGTGGACACGGAACTGGTTTTTATTACACTGGCAAGAGGCCAAACTGCACCCAGAGTTGAGTCTGTCCAAGCACGTTCCAGTGCCCAGCAGAGCTGCTGAGGGCCAGATATTTCCATTTTAAGCTTTCCGTAGATGATGGTGCTTTCTGCAACCCCCAAATTCTGGTTTATGCCATGTTTCTAAGGAGAACAAAGATCGAGACAATCTACTAGATCCATTTCCTTATGTCTTGTGTGTCGATTCTTTCCAAATGAGCTCTACAGGACTCAGCATGGTTCTCTTAAGAAGCCGAGTGTGAGCTAGGATTTTTTAATTTCCAGCATTATCATGAATAATTGAAAACTGCACGATCGACACATATTAACTTGTAACAAAGAAAGAACAACTCAGTTTTTATTTATAGTTTTTAAGAGAGACCGTTAAAAAGAACAGCTCAGAAATTTAAGTTTACAAAGATTTATCTTTCTAAGCTAGTGAATATAATTTATTACTTTCACCAAATGCTGTTTCACCTCTGGATTATTGAATACTGTTCCTCTCTTCCTAGGTTTTGCCCTCGATATCTTATTCGCTGTTGCAAATGGGTTTTCTCCCTCGTATGAGTTCTTTGCGATAACTCGCTTCCTGGTGGGCGTGATGAATGGAGGGATGTCTCTGGTGGCCTTTGTCCTGCTTGGGCACTGCCTACTGGGCACTCGCAGGTACTGCTTAAATCCGTGCTGGTGTGGGGACAGCGAGTTGCTCCCGAAAACGTTGCGGGGAACCAGCTTAACTCCAGAGTCTAAAAATGCACTTAGACTTGAGGTGCTCCATCTAATTATTAGGTTTGCTTTCCTGAGTTTGTTCTGTATGACCTTGAGTGAGTCATTTCATTTGTTTTCCTCTGTAGACAGCCTCCCCTGGGGCCTGACCCCGCAGATCACCTACATGCTATCACGAGGGTCCATTTCCTCAGAGGGGCAGTAACTGCTTTTTACCTTAAAATGAAAACGAGGTCAGAGATAGGAAATACTAGACACCCCTTGCTCAGAGCCTTCTTAGCGTATTTTATTAAATCCTTGTCTTATAGGCCTTCCTCATTTTTACTATTCCCTTCGAGTCAGCAGATAGTACTTTTGGAGCATGTTTTTTTTTTTTTTACTGATGTTTAAGTTGCAACTTGAGGCCATATTCATATTATTTTTTTAACCACCCATCATTTTCTTGAGAACTACAGTGTAGTAAAATAAACAACTTCAAAAGTTTGACTTAAAATAATGTCTTAGGAGAGTGACTGCCTCTCAGACTGTAGGTTTGCAGTGATAACTTTTTATTTGTCCTGCTTTTCATTCACTTGACAATTATTGAGTACTTTGGGTGTCCTTGTACCAATATGAGAAATAAGTTGATCACATGACTGATAGAAATGTGTCGGCGAGAGGGTATATATACCATTTGTTGAGCATCTGTCACGTGCCAGCTGCCACACAGGGCATTTGACACATATCTGTAGTATTCCCAGAGCTTACAAGTTAAGAGTTTCTAACTTCATTTTATGGATGAGGAAACCGAGCCTCTGAAAGGTGAGGCGATGTGCCCATTTTCACACAGCTGATAATTGATGACTGAGTCTGGGTGACACTCAGGCTTATGTCGTCCCCCTGTTCCCCAAGGACTCTCCTCTGGGGACTTCAGTCTGTCACCTCACGGGCCAGCCTGCTCAGCCTGTTCCTTCTCACCGGGGTGCGTCTGACGTTGGTGAGGACTGATGTTTGGCAATGGAAGACAGAGGCTGAGCAGAATGACTCCTGCTCTGTTTGACACACAGACCACCCCTACCCTGCCAGATCACGCAGGATTATTCCTGTCCTGTTGCCTTTTTCGGTGAAAAAAGAAAGACCTCTTGGTCTCCTGTACCCTTGCCGCTTTCCTACAGCTATGGGAGAGTCCTGTTAAAATGCTGGAACCTCCCGTTCTCGTCCCTGAAGTTGGGTTAAGATGAGGCCATTAAAACAGCTGTGGCAAAGAAAAAAGGGAGAAAGGGGAAAACCCGCAGCGGTGGAACCAGGTGGCGGCCACGCGAGACCGGAGTGACTGTGAGAGCATCCCCGAGGCCAGCGCGCTGACCGGCACCCCGGACAGAGGGACGATTCCAGTGGCACCTGGAGCTCGTTCGTGCTGAGCTTCCTCCACTCCCCGCCTGGGGCCTTCCCCAGAGTCTTGTCCTCGGCCCTGTTTTCCAAGCTGGTTTTACTTCTCTCCAGCAACCCTTATACACTCCGATGGCTTCAGATATGCTAATGAACTTTAAGAAGTTGAGGCATAAAACACCTAAATATTTAATAATAGGGGATCGGTTAGAAGTAGCCTAATTGTTTAGCGGTTAAAAAATTATTTGAAAAATTATGCTTGATTATGAAATCATGTTTGCGGTATGTATAAAATGCTAAGTATAAACTGAAACATTGATTTGTGACCCATTTGCAGAGTGGTGCTTAACAAGAAGAATGAAGATAATTGATTGAAAAGCTTGAGAATTGAAAAATAAAATACTAAAGCTATGAACAATTTAATATTAACGTATTTATTATATGTTTATATTAATATCTTCCAACAGAAGAATTGATGTCCGTTGTCAAATAAAATCCAGACATATATACAAGGGAAGTAGAAAGAATGTGTCAGCACAGTCTTCCCACGTAGAGTCACCACGGTTAACATATCGCTCTGTGTCCTGCCAGTGTTTTCCCCTTGCTGTGGGAAATCACTTATTAAATAGATCCTGCCACGGACAAGTCTGCCTTTCTAGGCACGTGGAATGAAACTGTGGACGGGACAGGTGTGTGGGAGGAAGTCCTTGCTCTCATGGAACTTATATTTTAATCAGGAGAGGCAGAACAAATATGAGGTCATTTCAGAAAATTTTAAGTCCAATGAAGAAAATTAAACAGCGTAATGGACTAGACAGTAATTGTTAAGGACAGTTACATGAAATAGGATTGTTGGAGAAAACCTCGATGAACATGTTTGATCTAAGACATGAATAGAGAGGAAGACCTAAGTGTGTGAAATTCTGAGAGAACATTCCAGCCAGATGGAATGGCAAGGACCAACGTCCTGAGATAGGAATGAGCTTCTCTGAGGGCCCGAGGCCGTGTGGAGGGGAAGGCGAGATGGAGGTAAGGCCAAGTCGGAGGGACGAGGTGATATAGGGCCCATGAGAGGCCAAACGAGGAATTTCTTTTTTACGCGAAGTGCAGTGGGGGAAGCCAGTGGGCAAATTTAATAGAGGAGGGATAGGGTCTTACAGAAAGGTCACTCCGGCAGGTGTGTGAAGAATGGATTGTAGAGGAACAAGAGTAGAAAGTGTGGGTTCGTTCAGGAAGCCCCGTGAAGCCCGATGGCGGGTTAGACGAGGGATGAACAGTGACTAGTGGAGGAGAAGGAAAGAGGGTGCATTTGAGCTGGATCTGGGTGGGAACAGGACTTGTAAAGAATCAGCAGACAGGGGAAGAGAAGAAGGAATCAAGAAGAGTTCCTGGCTCACGCTTGAAAACTGGATCGATGGTGCCATTTACAGAAATGAAGTCATTACTGTTCTTTGTTTCCTCATCTGCTGAAATTTGATTTTTACTCGTACAAACTGAGCAGGAATAACAGACTTGAAATTAACTTAAAATAAGCAGAAATCTGAAAAACAGGCAAAAGTTTCCAAAGGCCCATAAACAGTTACAAAAGCACATATGGCATTCCAGAATTGCAATATGCAAAAGTGGTGATTTGAAATGTTCATTTTGTTATCACCTTTTTAAACCAAATAACCCAGAGCTTTACCACGTCTGCATTTCTACCTTGTATCCCTGTTGTCATTTCCAGGCTTACTTGCTGGGCATTAGATATGACTGTCTGTTGGCCCCTTAAATAGAAAGGGTTGCTTTCTTTCACATAAAAAATCTCCATCATCTCCGAGGACCTACCTATGGTATCGTCATTCCAATACTTAAAGTCTTCAGACTAGAACTTCTGCATCATTTCCTTTTGTTCACGATATCCAGTTGATACCAGGTCCTACTCTCGGTGGCAGAGATTCCACTCCGATTGATCTATGGACAAAGGAAAATGATTTGGTTAACATGACCACAGCAGAGCCAGGCCTTGGAGACGCCTGGAACCTGGGAGTCAGGCGCTTCTCGTCTTGGTTCCCATCCTCTCTGTGAAGCTTCCTCCGCTCATCAGGGATGGGGCCCGTCAGCTCTCAGGGTTCGCCACCAAGTCCAGTATTTGAAATCCGGCATGAAAGCTCGGACGGGCCCAGCTGGGGTAGCCCTGCGGCTAGGGGAGCTCTGATGGGCAGCTCCCTCTGAAACCACGGGGATGAAGGAAGGGGAGGTCAGCTCTCCAGAACAACAAATGAGTGTCCTTGGAATTAGAAAGGAGTGTTAAGTAGACAATGTCTTGTAATAAACACAGACTTCCAGGCGGCTTTTGCGGGGAGGTTAATGGATATAATGGGCTATATCTATGTTACAGTAGGGTAATATAACTAACATCTGTATAGCATGCATTATTTCATCTGAAACCAACAACTACTCTGCAAAGTAGATGTTGTTATTTCTCTTTCACTGATGAGGAAAGTGAAGCCCAGAGACCTTTCGAGATTTACCCAAAGTCACACAGCAACAAGTGGCAGACTTGGGTCTGAACTTGGTCCCTCTGAAAAGGCCCCGTCCTGTGGACTGCCTTCTTTTTGCCTACATTGCTGTCGGTGGACACCGAGTATTCAGATCTGTTCTAAGCAATGACAAAAAGCCTTCCTTTTGGAAGCCAGGTGCTATTCGAGGCACCGTAATGAACCTGTAATAGCTATTGATTATCTTAAATTTCCGGGGAAATCCCACTTCCCCGTTGCCTTGCTTATCAGACCACATGTTCTGATTTGCTGTCCCGTGCATGCCAAACATGCTGTCATGTCAGCTCTCCCTTTTGCCTTGCTCAAGCAAACGGTGTAAAGTTATTATTTTTAGTTATAGGTTGATAACCTGTGAATGGGAATAAAAGAAAACTTATAGGATTGTAGCAGAAAACTTTCGTAACAGCATCGACAAAGTCCTGCTGCTCTGGGATGGCCACGGAAGCCACCTGCCCCTAGAACTGGGCTCTGCGGTGGGGACAATACAGAACTCGGGCTTTGCAATCAGACCAACCAGAATACCGGTCCCAACCACGCCACACACAGCTCCGTGTCTGCAGACAGTGGCACCTGACTGGTCTGAGCTATCTTCTCACTCCATACATGGCTAATAATGGTAACGGCTTTGCAGGGCAATATATGTAAAAGGCTTAATGCTCAATAAGTATTCGCTATAATATAAATAAGTAGTAGCTATTTCTACTACTCACAGTGATAGTAGCGGTTATGGAAAGTGTGACAGAGGCATAGAATCTGCAAGCTTATTGGGCAAGCCTGTGGCTTTAATACCCATCTCAGCATTTATTTCAAAAAATACCGGATTCTTAATGATCCCGTGGTTGATTTTTTTTTTTTTTCTCTGATGGTGTGCTGACAAAAATTCACTCTTCGCGGAGCTTATGTTCTACTTGGGAGGAACAGACAAGAAACAAATCAATATAAGCGTTATATATCTGATGGTGATAAGTAGGGAAGAGCAATGGGGAGATTGGGAGGTCGGTGGTGGTTTAAAATAAGGATTTCAGGGACAACTTTAGTGACAAAGATGAAGTCTCAGTATCGCAATAATCTCATGACCTAAAAACCTTCTTACCATATAACATTTCCAAGCCCCAGCCATGGGTTCAGGCAGATGTCAGTACAACATGCCATGCGGAAAGCTTTTGGGCACCATCCCACAAATTCATCTGGGCCACAGGTGGTTTGTATTTTCCATCTGTCCTTCCACCTTTTCCACTCATTTGTCGGTCTCCTATTTTATCATCGGATGCTCGGTATTTGTGTAGGTTTTCCTTTTCTGCTGACCTCTCACAGGGAGGAAAACTGGCTCTGGGACTTGGGTTGGAAACGGTCGGCACACGACGCCTCTCCAGTAACGGTCTCTTTTCCCCGGATCAGGGTCGATCGGCGGCCTCTTCTTCGCAGTCGGCATTGCCCAGTACGCCCTGTTGGGGTACTTCGTCCGCTCCTGGAGGACCCTCGCCGTGCTGGTTAACCTGCAGGGAACAGTGGCCTTTCTCTTATCTTTGTAAGTCGTTTTCCCTCGTAGAGTTTTAACTCAATAAGCAGAAGGAATGTCTTAAGAGGATGCGGGTCAATGAGCGGCGTTATTCCCTTTCAGGAGTTTGCCTGAACTGACTTGGGTGAAGAACTAAGTTCCGCAAGCGCTCCCATGCTTGGCAGCTCCTGGGAAGAGAGATGCTAAATTAATTCAGAATGCAGGTATCCCTTGTTTAAAGTAACCTCTCAGTGGACTGCATTTTATCCTTCAAATTGTGTCACAGGGTACCGATTTCTTTTTTAACCTCATGCCTCAGGCTTAAAAGATCTTCAGGCCGGATCGGATCATGGGGCAGGTGTGCAACTGCGGTATGATTTCGTAGAGCAGTCTGTTCATATTGCATACGTAGTGGGAACTGTTCACCCTACAAATCAGTATCATTTCAGGGCCTCCAAGTGTGGACACGGGAAGGTTCTCGGATGTGGGAGAAATCCGCAGCGTGCGTGAACTCTTAGCAGTAAGAGGACAACTTCCAGGTCAGGGCAGGGTTTACGAATGACCCACCCAAAGTGTCCCTCCGTGGTGCTCTAAATGCTAAAAGGCGAGCCACCAACGTAGGACAGTTTCACCGGAAGTTTTCATGTGCTTATGAAAGGTTTTCTCCCGAGGCCTCCGACCTCTGATTTTAATCATTAAAATCTTGCGGGATAAATACAATTTTCAGCCAGTGACACCAGCTTCCTTCTGTGCTAGAAAGTGAGGGACACCTGTAGTAGAATTGTCACTCAGGCCTTTAATTTAGCCATTCTTTATTCAGGTAAGAGAATTATGTGCAAAAATGAATGTGGTAGAAATAGCCTGTGTTTAAGAAGGCACATTTATTAAATACATTCAGTTACGCGAATTGGAATGAAGTAATTTCATTAGAAAAGGAAACTAACAATATTTTATTAGCCTGTGTATTATAAATTTGTGGAATAAACAGGTACCTAGTAGAATCTGTGAAGTAATAAGCATTCATGTAAATATCGGTAGACAAGTGAATTTTCTTTTTAAGTATTTAACAATCTCTTATTTCTGAATTCGATCTGGCCCTCATCCCTACTCCTTCCGTAGGAGAGTGACTTTGATGGATGATAGAAGCCGATTTGCCTTTCTTTTTCTGAGCGTGTAGTCTGACTTTGTTACTGCATAGTTCTAGGCGGGGACATCTGTTCAGTGGGAAATGAATTCAGGTGTCGGAAAGGAAACAGTGAGAAAGAACATGTAAAATTGAAATATGTTTTTTCTGTCAGGCCTGGAGCGTCAGGCTTCCCACGACCAGCCTCCGGTTTATCTTCTCTAATTTCCTCTTGTCCTGTTTGGCATACTCTGTTCCAGGCACACTGAGCTGCCCGTTGCTCCCAGTACACGCCTTGTCTGCCAGCAGCTCTGGCACCTCCTAGTCAATGCAGCGACCTCGGTCAACGCCCCTCTCCCCACATCCTCTTATTTAACTAATACCTTCCTGGTTCGCTCTCTGAGCTTCTCCCGACCCTACCTCCAGCTACAAGTCATTTCCTTTCTGGATCCTGCAGCACATGACCCACCCCTCTGAGCGGTTCCTCTCATTCCTGCGGGAGCCTGGCTCTCTCTGTAGCCAGGAGCTGCCTGCCGGCGGCAGGCCGTCTACTCAGTTACATTTCCCCGCGCACCAAGGCCCAGCCCTCCACACAGTAGGCCCTTCATGTCCGCTGGACAAACGGCAACACAAAAATATTTGGACTTAGCCATCAGCAGCATAAGACAAAGTCACGTTATTTTAGAGTCATACCTTGTTTATTTTACTAGAACCATTATTATTTAGCTTAAAAATTTCTTATTTTCACAATGCTTGACGTTGAATAGTTTTATTTTAAAAATCAGTGCCCCCTTAATTTGCAAAGGTTTTTCCCCTTTTTAAGAAATTCACAGAACATTTTTGAGCAGAGGCAGCATGGTTAAATTAGCCCTGAAGGTGACCACAGCACTATGTAGAGCAGTGGTCCCCAGCCTTTTCGGCACCAAGGATGCGGCTCCTATGGGAATCTAATGCCTGAGGATCTGAGGTGGAGCTGAGGCGGTGATGCTGGTGCTGGGGAGCGGCTGCAGATGCAGATGAAGCTTCCCTCGCTCACTGGCCACTCCCACCGCTCACCTCCTGCTGTGTGGCCTGGTTCCTAACAGGTCATGGACCGGTATGGGTCCGCGGCCCAGAGTTTGGGGACCCCTGACGTACAGGACAGCATATTCAAAGGCCTGCTTTTTCTTGTAAAAACATGCCTAACCATTTGGTCTGCATAACCGCCATGTATTGGAAGTCACTTTCCCAAATCTGTCCATTGGCAGCTAGGTGAGCCTTTGTCATCGGAAGCCGATCGGCTTCTCAAAGTGTGGAAAAAAAGTAGGTCCTAAGTTTGCATACTTAAGATCAACCCTTTCCCAAGAAGGAGTAGATTTATTAACTCAAATGTTAAATTTCCAAAGCCCGAGTATCTCTCAGCTGTCATCTTTAGAAATGATTTATAAAGTTGTAAAAGTAATTTTAATTGCTTATAAACAATTCTGAAAGCATGGAGACGTTTAAGGGAAGGGAGAGATGACTTGAATTACCCAAAGACAACGACCGACGTTTTCGGCTCGTTCCTTGCTGGGTGTTTATCACCCCTCCCGTCCTCTTCAGTTTTAATTGTCATTATCATGCATTTCTTGTTGTATTTCATGTATTTTTCTATTCTAAGTATACGATCTATATCTATCCTGATAGTCTTCTTTTATTCTTTTTATTCGTAGTTAGACCTAATTAGGTAGTTTCCGTAGTACCTCATATATCCGGCCCCGTTAGATAAAGCCAGTTGATCCAATGGTTAATAGGCAGACTTAACTCCTAACAGAACAATATTCTACGTGATTATTTACTTGTGCGTAAGTAATAATCGAATGGCAACGAGGAAGTAAAGTAAGGGGTTTTTCAGGATGTGGTAAAAGGCCTTTGTTCCTGCTTTTGTTGACAATTACATGTCGTGCATGAATAGTCTCTCCCCAGTGGCGAAACTCCCCGGAAAGTCCTGCCTTTCAGCCTCATTTTCTTTTCTCTTGGTGCCTATCACACAGCTCGTCCAAAACGGGGTGCTCAATAAATGGTTACTGACGCACTGGCTCGCCGTGAAGTCTCAAATTCTGAGATGTTTGTAGCCAACTCACTTACTTAAAGGCACAGCAAATTCTAAAAAGCGCCCTAAATAACCAATATTATTTATACAAGTTTCATTGTAGGCCTTAGATCCAAAGGTACTTGATGTTGTGGTCAGCAAATGAGGCTTCCAAGTTCCGGCCACAGTTTTGTCTTTGAAAAATAAAAGCGATACAGAGCTGTGAAGAGAAGAAGAGATCTGTAATATCTAAATCTTAAAACTATTGGGAGATATCAGTTACAATATAAGTCTTCAATAATACTTTGTAGCTGTAGTAGAAAGTTACTATTGTATTGTAACTGGAAGTAACTTTTATTCTTTAATGTCGTAGGGGATCAGAAAATATTGTCAGAATGTATTAAAGCAAGTATGTCAGCTGATTAGAGTATTTTGAAGCCTGAAATACTCAAAAGTAGCTAGTTTGTGGTAAACCCTATTTAATTTTCATGCGTAGTATAAAATAAACTTAATAACATCATTAATTACATTAAAAGCACTTTTTTAAAAATTATTTTTTTCTGATGAGATAATAAAGATTTTTTATCTTCCTGATGAGGCTTTTCGAGAACTTAAAAACCCAACTATGTGTGCTGTATTATTCTAACAACACTTGGCTGCGATGTAGAGCCATATCTCTGACCTGTGCCTTATGGAGAATTTGTATATTATTTGGTATTGTAGACCGAACTTATCATTCATATGTTAGCATTTGCTTAAAAGTAAATGCATAGTTTACCTTTTTTTACTGTTATTTTGGAAGCGCGTTCTTGGCTTCCATCCATAAAGGAGACCCCAATTTCTCGCTGGCATGCTGTTGAAAGCCCCCTCTTTCCTCCCTGTGCCATTGGGAGAACGAGGCTTAAGACCTAGCGTGGAACTCACTTGGGGCGAGGGAATCACATACTGTGTAGGCGAGTCGTACCCTTCCTGTGCACGTGGACCTGTGCGAACATACAGCCTTTAATGACGTCTCTTTCAGATTCATTCCTGAATCACCTCGTTGGTTGTACTCCCAGGGTCGACTGAGTGAGGCCGAGGCTGCTCTGTACCTCATCGCCAAGAGGAACCGCAAGTTCAAGTGTACATTCTCACTGACGCACCCGGCCAACAGGAGCTGCCGGGAGACTGGAAGTTTCCTGGACTTGTTCCGGTACCGGATCCTCTTGGGGCACACCCTGACCCTCATGTTCATCTGGTAATTATATCTACTGGGTTCTGGCTGATCTTCGGCGCAGATTGCTAAAGCTCTACTGATAATCTGAATTTTACTACTTTTGCCAGCATGAGGCTGTTTTAACAAGAACAAGCCGCACCCCCACCCCCTTAGTGCCTGGCTTTGTGTTCCCTCTGTTTTCTCATCGTCCCTCTCGAAGAGGTGATGATGGTACCTGACACAGCAGGTTTACTGAACTTGAGGTATTCGATGTAAATATTTAAGTGCCCCTTGCCCCGTACACGCCCCCCTCCCCCCAAAAAAGGAAGATAAGCAACCGTAGCAGAAACAGAAGAGTTTCTAGAGAGGACTTTAAAATACCTACCTTTGAGTTTGGCATCAAGCAGTCGGGCAGCGCATTGTAACTGCGAGGCCCTGGCTGCATTCTATGTGCATTCCCACTACCCACCCACCGGGGGGCTCTGAATGTTATCATTCCTGGGACAGGTGAATTCCTGGGAGTGTGGCATGGCCGGACTCAACGCCACACATACAGATCAGTGAACGAATGGATTAGCACTCTCTGAACCTGATTTTCAAGGTTAGCTTATTCTAACTTGCCTCTCACAATGCTCTCAGCATTGATGTACATTTCACTGACTGGTTCAGGGTGGTTCCATTTAAAGGATGAAGTTATGGGAAAGGGAGAAATGGATGGCCAGCACATGCAGTCTGTGAAGCGCACATGTGTTTTAATATCGTGTGTTCTGCTGGGGTGCTATAGGTGTTCTTTGGTCCAATGTTGGGTGTGGACATCCTATTGACTGGGCAAAGGACTGTTGTGCTGCGGTTGATGTGTATTTGCCATGAAGGCTACATGGAAACCGACATTTTCACGTGGGAATAAAAGAGAGTAGTTTTATATGAAGTGATCTTATGCATAAAGCTAAAATGAACAGTAAGCGGATTGAGAATAAGAAGCTGCGAAGATATTTTTCTGTATCGTGATTCTCTTTGCCGACCCAGTCACGCACTGGCTGCCGCCTGCACGGTCAGGAGCCAGGTCACACCAGCTGCCACCCTCCCCGGGAGCCAGCACAGTGCTGGAACATCACAGATGCACAGTAAATGCTGAAGGAAGGACACGAGCTCGGAGGCATGGAGATTAAGGGAACCTTCAAAATCCACACTCGACAACACAGCATAGGAGCTACTCGTTTGAGGTCCTGACCTATTGTAAAGTAAACACAAAGTGTGTTCAGATATCTTGGGCGTCACCAAACTCTACATTTGCATATCATGTAGATAGTCAAACCCTCTACCTTCAAGGATGCCCCTGCTTCTTGGGGAGTATTTACTTCTTTAAGTTTTTTATTTTCATTATTTATTTATTTATTTTCGAGGCGTATTAACTTTTGGGCTCTGACCTTCAGGGATTAAAAAAATATATAACAAAAAAAAAAAATAAACAGATGAACAAACTAAACTTAGAGCCAGGGAGAATGTTCCTACTTATTTTATGTCTTCCACAGCCAAAGGAACTTTTCTCAAATAAACTTCTTTCCCCCGGGCTGAGAATGTTAAAATACACGGCAGTAGAGATGGTGTCATTTCACATGCCGCTGTAATTATTGACGATGCTATAAAATTCTAAAATCTTTTCTGCGATCTGTCATTGAAGAAAGCCTTAACTGGAGAATAAAATTATACCTCTGTGTTGAACATCTGTTCTTTTGGTTATTTCCCACAGTAGAGCCTTTTAAAATAGTTCTTTGATGCCCTAAATATACTGTTAAATATTATGCAAGCATTTTCAATTTTGTGTGGGGCCCATAAAGAGCATTGAGATGATTTTAATCGCTGTAGTCACTCATCCCAATGACCAGCTCTGCCATCAAGGGAACTCGCAAGCAGCATCTCCGCCTTGGGACCATATTCCTTCCTTGCCCATGGTCTCCCATCCTCTCTCACCCCAGCTGGTAACGAAGTCCCCGTAGTTGCCTGAACTGGCTCTGTCTATTCGTGGTTACTACCATCACGACTTGGGTTGAATAGATATGTGTGTTCTCATGGCCGGAGTTACTTCACTGGGATTTGTTTTATTTGCATGCGGAGTAGACATGGCACATTAGGACTGGAGTTACGTAAGAGCAGGGTCTCTACTGCAGGTAGAAAGGACTGAAACATGTTTTAGAAAACCACATAGGTTTAAATTTGTTCGTTATGTAAGAGCAGGGTCTCTACTGTAGAAAGGACTGAACACATGTTTTAGAAAACCACATAGGTTTAAATTTGTTTCCCCCGCTGCTTACAGGCAAGGTGCTAGGGGACACGGAAAACAGACAACTTGGTCACACCTTGCATCCTTGCATGTGATGTCCTGGCTACAGCCTTGCTCATTGTCCTTAGTATTTGAGTGACAGCTCTGCCCAGGGAGAAGTAATGGGAGGTAGCTGCCGCCCCTAGCTCATGTGCCAGGGAGGGATGAGCAGTAAGCAGTCCAGCTCCAGACACCCCTCTCCCCTCCCCTCCTCCCCGTCCCTCTCCTTGGTTGCAAAGCCCATTCTTAGTAGCCCAGGGCACTTGGCTCACTTTGATGTTTTGGCAGAAATGGAAAGAAGGCTTTCCCTTTCCCATTTGATTTCATTATAGCCATAGCTCATGGGCTTTTTCTAAGGAAAACTAGAGGTAAACGAGAACTTCCCTATAATAAACACTCGAGAAAGCGAATTGCGAAAACAAACACCAGTGAACTTCCAAAGCCCAAGTGTTTTACTGTTTGTAGAGAAGTTTATGATTTACAGAATGTAGTCATGTACTAGTAAAGCCTAGTTTCAGGGTTTTATTTTTGTTTATCCTGTTCTATTTTGTTTTGTTTTTAATCAGTTTCCTAGACACAAAAGTCACTATTATTTATCCTCTTTACTCTGTCTGAGTAAGCTCTGACTCGCAGCTTCAGGATGGCACTGGGCTCGGCTTAGCTCCTGGGCTCCTTAGTTCCCGGACTGTGGGAGGTGGGCTCAGTGCCAGGCACGGGGCCTGCCACCTGGGAGGCGGTCCCTGAGTGTGCAGCAATGGCGTGCATAAATAAATGATGGCTTTTCGAAGGGCTGTTCCCAGATGATTGTCCAGAGAATCTGCCTCCGCCATCGCCTTGTCTTTCCTGTTCCGGGTGTCTGCAGCGTGCGCACCTGCCGAATGCTGGATGGGGTCGAGAACCCATTGGGGGTCGGAGTGCCAGTCATCTCTGGCCTGCAGGTGACCCACTGACGGTCACTTGTCAGCTCCTGTTCTCAACACCGTCCGCAGTTGGCTTTCACCGAGGGAGTTCTTCTCTAGGGTTCTTTAGACGATATCACGACGATTGCCTAAGGCAAGCGTTCTAATTAATAGTGTTAAATAAAGCAAGAGTGGAGCCGTTCGTTGCCTTCTCTCAGATGCAGAAAGGCTTGATGAAAGCATAAACCATGTCTTTCCTCCTTCGGCAGCTGGCCGCTCACTGGCTTCATCGAGCATCTAGATAAATGATTTCCAAGGCCCCCTTATTTGTTTGTTTGTTCCTACTACAGGAATGCAGATTAAGATAGAAGTGTTCGCGGGAGTCAAGCTTGTTGCTTGAGACAGATTGTGTCCCATCAGATCAGTATTTGAATCTTCCCTGGCAGATTCTCATGTGCTTTTTCTATTTTCCTTCTTGTCTTTAACCCCCAATCCTAGGTTTGTGTGCAGCTTGGTGTATTATGGCCTAACTCTGAGTGCAGGAGATCTAGGTGGAAATATGTATGCCAATCTGGCCCTGTCTGGCCTCATAGAGATTCCATCGTACCCCTTGTGCATCTACTTGGTTAACCAAAAGTGGTGAGTATGGGTGAATATTGAAGTGTATGTATGCACACACTCTCACGCGTAAATGCCTAAACATCACTGTCTTGTCCGTATGCAGTATCCGCCAATGACTCCACAGTGATTAGAATTCTTTTCAGACCAAACACATTTAGAATTCATTTTTTAATACACTATTTCTTGGGTTTCATATTCATGAGTTTTTCTGTAGGGTTTCAACCCAATATTAGAAGGCATGACGACCTGAAGGTGTTCGAGTCATCCCTGTATAATTCCTTAGTCCCAGCAGATGAGATTATTGGCACTATGTAGATAGAACCCAAGCACTGTCATTTCGAAGTATTTACACAGGGAAAGAACTAGAAGAACTAAAAAGACGTTTCTTGCCTCTTACGGCCCACTCGACTTTGCTGGGGGGAAGAACGTACCCTGTTTCGCGGCTCACCGTCAGCGGGCACGGGTTTGAAATGCTTCTGTAGAGAGTTCTTTTGTGGAGCACCCTTTCCTCAGTGTCCTCAGATGCTCCTGTCATTGAGGCCTGGCCAGGGCATCGGAAAAGCCCGCTGCGCGTGAGCCGGGCGTCAGCCGGGCCCGCCGTTTCCCGTTCTCCAGCGGTCGGCCCTCCTTCGGCATCGCACGCGGTGCTGTTGGCTCGCACACTGACTTCAGCACGGTGCGAAGGGTTGGTTTAGGTTCTGTTCAGTTGAAGGGTTTTCTCTTGGGCTTGGTCCCGGTTGCCTCTGCTGACCCCTGTTAGTGGGTAAGCTTACTCTCCTCATGGTCTAGGAGCCGGCTTAGGCAGCCTATTCAGAACCCTGTCCCCAACATCCCCAGGGTGCCAGACCCCCCTCCTTTGTGCTGTTAAAGCTTCCTGCGCACACCTCTGATGACCCCTTAAAGGGTTATGAAGACACTGTCCGTGGGGGGATCCTATATGTCTTTGCAGCCCTAGTGCCTGCCTGGCATGGGCCCCGTCCAGCGGAAGGCATTCGATACCGTTAAATCGAGCAAAATGACCTGCAGACTCAAGTCGTCTCCCGTCTCCTGTCTCCCTGCCACTCCCACCAGAGTCAGAATTAAAATCTGAAGCCGAGGGAGGGAAACGCTGCCTTTGGAACCCAGCAGACCTGAATTCAAACCTGGTCTCAGCCACGTTTTAGTTTTAGGACTTTGACAAGCTCCCTCCCTAAGCCTCCATATACTCATCCTTAAACTAGGGGTTTTAAAATTCCCCTGGCAAAACTGTCATAAAAATTAACAAGTGATATCGAAGTTGCTAATAGGGGACCTAGAGAGTTGCAGGCGCTGGAGAGGGAGGCTTCCTGATGTTAGTGTGTCTCTTCCGAGTCTGCAGCTCTGATTTGAAAATCGCTTCTCCCAATAAAGTGTGCAATGAATTTCGCTTAATTCTGACCTAACAGGAAAATTTTTCTGGTTGTGTTTTTAAGAGAAAGCTTGTTTTACAGTGTTAAAATTTTTAACTGCTTAAGACTCAAGGAACCCAAAATGAAAATGAGCTGGAAGACTTCTTTCTCCATGTTTCAGTTTCATTCTCTGGGAGATGGAGAATGTAACAGTACATGCCTTTCGGTTTATTATTAGGATTAAGTAAGATAATAGGGAGAAAGCATCTAAAGCAGTGGCTAGAACATAGTAAATACTCACAGGAACGGGATGATTCTTTTTTTCCCCTGCAGACATCATTTAATCCTGCCATCCAGCAAGTTTTCTTTTGTTTTATGATGGTTATTTATTTTATGTCCTGGGCAGTCACATTTGCCACCCACTCCTTAAGAAAAGATGAACACGCATAATGAAACTGAGGACATTTAAAAAGGATGGTTAGAGGGGAGACGCAAATGAATTTATAAGATTCTCAAGAGAAATGTGTCATTTCTTTCTATTATTTAGGTTTGGTCGGAAGCGGACATTAGCAGCATTTCTGTGCCTAGGAGGGCTGGCTTGTCTTATTGTAATGTTTCTTCCAGAAAAGAAAGGTATGCCTTTCGAATTTCTCCGTAAGGGTTTTGAACAGCACTTTTATTACAATGAATCTCAATATAGTGGAGAGATTACCATATGCCATGCTTCACTTCTATGATTGCATATTATTTAGTAATTGTGTGGGGTATAATGGGCCAGATTCTTCCCATTGCCTAAACTGTTCTCTGGGTGAATAATGTGCTTAGAGGTGCACTATTAATTCTTTCAGGCGATTAAGCTACCATCTGCGGTGTCTGGGCTGCAGCGCCGGTGCTGTTAGAGTTGTTTATTTGATGATGACGAGGACCGTTTAGTTCTGCACAGAAAGAAACTCCGTCCAAGGCTGCAGATTGCACTTGTCATTCTAGCCAACTGCAGGATAGGAGATCAGGGTCATTGGTTGTCAAAGATGGCTTTGGCACCCCTCAATGTTCCTAATATATCAGAATTCCCAGGAGTAATGACAGAAACAACGAGACTATTCACCGTCGGTGACAACTGACATTTTTTCAGTCTTACATAAAGTGTGAATGAAACATCTTTAGGAAACTTTGGTATATTTATATATTTATCGTTTTGCTATGCAAGCACAGCTTCCAAAACGGTCCCTTTTGGCATCCTTATCAAATCTTATCTGCCCCTATGTGGAAATTCTGTGCATAGTGCTGGTTCTCTCCTGTTCTGGACCAGCATATCTGAGGCATGCCAGCTATCGATAGCATCGGGACCCGTGGCGTTGGCAGTGATTTTCAGCAACGAGGAGTGAGTTATAACACACTGCTGAGGTACATGGTTCAACACAAGCCCTGTTTGGGGGGGCTTTTCAGTCTTGATAGAGCTCCATCATGGGGCTTGTACTTCACCTAGGGATCATTGTGAGATAGCCGAACATCAAGTTTTGAAAATGACTGGAAATGTAGCTGAAGAATTTATTCCCGTCAAAGTATATCACGTTAATGGTAATTGCTCCTCCTTGAGATTCATTTGTGCCGGTGACTCATCGAAGACTCCGAGGCCACGTGTTCTAGTACTGCAGCCCTCTGGTTTACCTGCCGTGCTGTCTGTTGCTGCCCGCAGTTCTGTGCCTTGGATCTGGGGAGGGTGCAGTTTGTTCACTAGTTAGGATTTTACCCAATATTTAGAACTATCTTATTGTGATTTTCATGGAACTGTGGTAACTAAAGAATTTGGTTAGTTTGGCTATTTCCGATTCTCTAGGCAAATTGTCGCCTCTGCTGGTGCCAGGAAGGAGGAACTCCTCAGCTGCTGCCCCATCGTGGGCTTGTAGGACCAAGTGCCCAGGTCCGTTTGTCTGGGACGGGGCACCAATGGGCTTTCGGTCATTGTAGCTTTAGGTTC